AGACAATCGAGTGTTTTAATCCTCCTACATGCTCCTTTCCCAACTTGCTTTCCTGCACTATCCTTTAATCACATATCGATAGATTAGCTCTGGTGGAAATCAAGTTTCCCTGCTGCTACAGAGGCTGATTAAGTCTGTAGTGCTGCTGCATGCACACATAATGTTATAATCAATAGCAATTCACACATTATTGATGGATGTTCATCGTCCTGAAGGCCGACGGGATAATCCTTTTACTGTATACCGTTGATGTCAGAATTTGAGGTCTTTCCAAGTTAACAAGAGATGCATCAAATAATCTCCACTCACCAATTCTCTGGTTCCTCTGCTTTTTCACCAGCCACTGCTTCGTCACGTCCTCCTACACTCACGTATACATAAAGGCAGACAACAAAGACATGAATCTAAAGCAGGCCAAGGTGACACAAACAATAAGATAAAGAGATTAGCCTGACTGGATGCCATGTTGTGTGTATACATTATGTTTACCACGGCTGATCTCAGAGCATCATGCTAATGTCTCACAATCTTTTGAACCTCAAGCTAAATCCGTGAACTGTTTATTTCATCACTGGCAAATGAATTCCGGCAGCGAGGATTACCCAGTGTCCTCCTGGAACCACATGAATATTCAACACAGTCTAATCAGGGGAATAGTGTGACAAACATCCAGACCTTTATGGGGTTATCAGCATTCAGCACAGCCAGTATGACGAGCTCCACGGCAGGGAGCAGGTTGGGCAGACGGCCCCTCTTCCACTGGAACTCCAGGTCGTCCAGCATCATGAGCACCGGCTCCCCGGGCCACACAGTGGGCTGCACACAACCACATATAAACAGTTAATGTTGTTGGGGCTCAGCGTTCATCATCGTGTGATAAGGACAATGTTCACTCTAACTTGTGACCATAGTTCTAGCGCACTCTGGTTATGATGGGATAATTGTCATGGGCAGGGTTTAGCTTAATCATCTTTATCAGATGCAAGGAGGGAACTAGGTCAAACTTTAATCACCAACCAGCCACAGGAAGAACATGTTATTGTCACCACTGTGCACTCACTTGAGGTCTGCTTTTAATCTCACGGGTCCAGTCCATGATGACCCTTTTGTAGGGCCCCATGTCGTACTCGCCCCCGGACTCCAGCATGCAGAGGAGGTGTCCCTTCCAGTCCTTCTTCTCTGGCTTCTCATACTGGTAGTCGGATGGGATGATCTTAGACTGAGGAAAAAGTACAAATGTTTTAGGAACATTCAGAAAACAGTTTCTTCAGATATTCTGGCAAGAAAACCAACATGGCACCTATACTGTACCTGTACTTTCTTCTCCAGCACAGCAGCCCATTCAACGATAAAGTCACGACACACACTGGCCGGCCAGATGTCCTCACTGGTCCAGATGTGGCCGAGGACGTTCGACCTCTAAAGGTACAGAAAGATACGCATGAGAATCTTTAAGTGTACGCGGTAAAACTAAATCAGAGAGGATAAGAGCTTACCTGGCAAATTCTGTTGAGTTCTCGAGCCAGTTCCATAATAAATAACTGACTTTCCACCAGAGGCTCCTTTTTGTCGAGTTTAACTCTCTTACGAGACTCCTGAAGCAAACAGGAGATTAAAAAGGAATAACGTTTTAGAGAGAAGAGTGCAGATTTAGCACTGCCAACAAAACACAGCAATATCAGAGGAAAACAGAGTCGCATACCTTGAGTCGGATTTTGAGCTTTTTGGCCGGTTCAATAAGGAACTGCAGGCAGTCTTTCATCATGCTGGCAGCTGGAGAGCGAGGCCGATGCCCTGTGGTACGATAATAAAGCAGCTTTAATACGCTGGCACTCATTCTGTCAGAAGCTGGAGCCCAACTGCAGCTGACTGAGCTCCTGTCGCCCCCACAAATCGATGAGAGAGCAGAAAGCGCTAATTTATGAGAGGTGGCAAAAAAAGGTATGTATGCGTGGAGAGAGAGAGAGAGAGAAGCACTGCAGAACTTTCCTCACAGTTCCGCACTCAAAGTCCACAGAGAGCTCATTATTAGGCACTCTGAGCTATCATGAGCTGAGGAGGAGGAGAGAAAGAGCACCCACACATAGGACATAGTGGGTGGCAAACAGAGAAACTGTGGCGAATCAGGCACAAAATATTGCACAGTAACAGGATTTCCTGATGTGTGTGAGTCGATACATCTTGATCATGGCCTTGAAATTGGAAATTTATTCCCAAGGAGATGTGAGACAGCAGCGCAGAGCACTTTTTAAAACACTGCGGAGGGTGCGGGGGATCGTTGGACCAGTTTGCTGTTGATTCAGCAGTCCGCCCCTGCACGCCACTCTGATGCGCTGAGGGGATTTACTGTTCTTTATGTGATGTAGGGGTGGCAGCTGAGCCAAAAGGATGCTGCACGGGGGAGCAGATATTGTTCTGGGGGGGAGTCTGCATCCAATGACAGAACTCGAATTTTACATTATAGTCAGCAATGTCTGACGAGTCTGTGAGTATAGAGAATAATAATTCCAATGTGTTTTCTGTTAAATGTGTGGATTTGATGTTGTTTATATTCACTTATCTTTCTAATTTCCATCCTTAATTTCTTAGAAATGAAGAATAAGACTCAATTTTGACTAACTGATAGGTTGATATTACAGATATTATCTCTACAACTACAAAATTGACTGTAGAGACTCACTATGATGAGTTCTTTCACTCCTATAACAAAGTCAGAAGGAGTCACAAGTCCACAGAAGCAGTCCATGTTAACTTTCGCCCACAGAGGCCATGACACGTGCAGGGGAAGCTGAAGAGAGGCCAAGCTGTGCCACTGAGCCTGTTAACTAATTAAAAGGAAAACAGTGGTGCTCACATTAAAGCCCCCTTTTTAAGAGGCAAAAATGAGAAATGTGGCCCTGCTGGGTTTGTCCATCAAACTGTGGACTGGTGAAAACAACACAGTGGCTCCTGGCTAGATGGGGGGTTTTATTTCTGGAGGTGCAGGCTGAGCTGGAAGGTGGCAGAGGAGCCGGAAGATTAGAGGAAATCCAGGATTACCACCGGTGCCACTGCTGCACAAGCCCAGGTAGTGAGTTTCTATATTGGGACTGACAGGCCAACCTCTGCCTGCAAGTCAACACCAAAACAAACACACTGCACAGCAACACAACAGAGACACGTTTCTGTGGATTAACAACAAATACACACTATACTTTGGAGGTTATTCTCTGCTTTCGTCGTCAAAATGTACAATTTTTAAATAAATATGAACAAAAAAAAAGCTGCCTTCGTTGCATGAAGCTGCTAAAACCGGACAACAATCACTAGCTAGCAGGCAAACTGTTCAACTAATTACACCGCAAGCAGTAACACAACACAGGCAGTTTACTCGTTTAAAATGTACGTTTAGTGTGAAAACAAAGTCTTACCTTGTTATGAGAGAATGTTCCTGTCCGCAGGTAACTCTGCGCAGCTCCTACGTGATGTTTCCTCCAAACTCAGACTGATTTAAACCTCCGCCATCATCATCACCATCATCATCTTCCTCATCTTCACCTTCAGCGCCGCTTCGTCCACTACTGCGGCACGAGAGGCACAGCGCGCGCTCTTATGCTCCGCTCAGCGGCAGCTTCAAAGAGCCGCCGACAGAGGCCGCCATCTTGCCTCCCTGTAACCACGGCAACACGGAGCTCTACTATTATGGTCTGTCCTCTAAGGTGGCGAGCACATTTGGTAAAAAAACCTCCAAAGAAAACAAGAGTGGGGAAGACCTGCGTTGGCTGACACACTTTTTACTCCCAGACATTTTTATTTGACATAAATCATTTACAATACTGCAGCCAGAAGCCAACAAATGTGGGATTCTGGTCTCAGTTTTATACTCTAATGAACGCAAATGCTTTCTAAAATGTGCATTAAGTATTAAAACAAAGCCTTGCCGTTGTTGAACAGGGGCTACATCCTGCTGATAGCTTTTTATTTTTGCTCAAATTTGTCACATAGGTGTGCCATATCAAATAAAATGTGATTTTTTAGGTGTAACTGTTTGTTACGTCGAACTTCCTTTGAAAGAACATGTATTTTAGCTGTGAAATTAAATAAAATATTCCATATGCATTTGTTCTATGGGCTATTTAAAATATATCTTTTTAAATATACATTGTATTATAAATATTAAAATTTAAAAAATGTTAACTATCATGAATGAAATCAAGTCATTTTTGTAGTTAAAATATCATTTCAGTCACAATGTGGGAGCTGCTGTTGAATTAGTACTTTAGTTTTTAAACGGTGAAAACATCTGATTGTTGTAATCTATTGAGTACTGATTCCTTCATTGTCAGACAAATAAATAAATAAATAAATAAATAAATAAATAACCCTATGAAATAAATAAATATGACTATGGCGTTAATCCCGAGAATAAAATAAACGAGACAAATATTATATTACACTTATTATAAATACATATTATAGGAATAAATGTAATAATTACCCAGCAAACTGACGTTTAGAGAACGTTCTGGGAATGTCCAATGAATTTTCTAAGAATGTTCTGTTGACGTTCTCGTTGTTGTTGTTGTTGTTGTTTTCCCCCTTTACAATGTTCCGCAGACGTTACCTTCATTGTTTGCTGGGTAAATACATATATCTTTTATCTTTAATGGGTTGCTTTAATTTATTTCCGAAGACGTCTTTATTTAATTGCGACATATGTGTGTATTATTGATTTTTGTTATTGAATAAAGCTGGCGTTGTTTTTACAGTGTGCTCTTGTTAACACTAGGTGGTGGAAAAGTGTCTACTAACCAGAACAACAGGTGTCAGCAGCCAGAATAAAGTGTGTTGTGGAGCATATCCAAAAATGTACATTACAACAAACTACATTTTAATCTTAAAGCCACTAAAACGTGTTAATGTGGAAATAAATATTGAAGTAAAGCCAGGCTACAGCAGGTCTGGTGTGTGTGTGTGTGTGTGTGTGTGTCAGCAGGACAGCAGATGTCACTGCAGCCTCTCAGCAGCTTGTGTGTCGGTGCTACTTGAGGCACGACAGAGATCTGCAGAAGCTTTGACAGGTAGCTCCGACTGTCATTTCTTTGATGTTTCCAAAGAATCCCCAGATGAAATGAACCCGCCAGTGTGTGCTCCTCCCTGTCTGTCGGGTTTGTTCTGAGGAATGAACGGGAAGGTGTCTCGGTATGTCAGCGACACGGAAGTGTGATCACAGCGTGTGTCCCTGTGCGTAAATGACAGCAGGCTGGAGGAGCGTCTCTAAGCGAGGACGGGCTCTGATCACAGCTGCTCCTCGACATGGCACCCAGAGACCCTCTGATCGGCACCCTGAAGGGTAAGCATCAATAATAGATGCATGGTAGGAAGATGTTATTGGATCATCATCTCAGCTCATCGTCCATCTTTACGACGTCTCGTTGCTCTCCAAAACAACCTGCGTTCCTGCCTCGATAATTGGGGGTTTATTTCTGTTAAAGACACCCCTATTACGCATCAACCACACCTCTATTTTTTATCATCTTATTTATTGTGTTGATCAGCGATGATCGTGCAGATTGGATGGAAAATTGTGGTGTGTTTTTGCCCACTGTCACGCAGATTGACAGCAGCTCCACTGTTTATTGCGTGTGTTTTTTTCCCCCTCTCACAGTGTGCGTCCTGAACCTGCAGGCTGATGGGGAGATGGTGACAGACTCCAACCCTCACCTCGCCTCCTGCTGTGAGCTGCTAGAGCTGGTCCTCAGGAAGGGGCTCCAACGTCAGTGTCAATAACATGTTGACATCAGATGTTTTTATGTGTATTAAAGCACATGCTGTTCATCTGACAGATAGAGCTGCACATTTCAAATGCCACTTCATGCTTGAAAGGGTTGTAACTGATTAAGAAAAATCACAATATTTTGAGGCAGAATCTAGTTGATTTAGATTTTTAATAATAACTCATCTGAAGCCCAACATGTGAAATACACCTTTTCTGTATTAACTGGTTGTGTTTTAATTTCTCTCCAGAGCCAGTTCTCAGTCTGGTAAACAGAGATTACTGGCAGTGTTTTGAACAACTACCACACCAAGATGTCTGCGGCAGGTAAGAACATCCTGCTTAGACTGACTGATAAGAGTTTTTACAGCAGTAGTTTCTACATACCTGCAGACAGAGAGAGAGAGAGAGAGAGAGAGAGAGAGAGACAGCAGCATCAGAGGAAGAGTAGCAAGTTATTAGACTGATTAATTTTATCCAAAATTAGTTTTAAAAAAAAAAGAAAAATGCAAACTATTGGAAATGAAAATTAGCTGCCCTGTTCATGCCTGTGGTCTCTGCTGATGTGTTGTGTGTAGGCTGTCTGCTCTGTCCTTGGCGGTTGAGCAGACCAGAGTTTGCAGGAAGCTGCTCTCAGCTCAGGGCCGAGGCCGCTACCTGCTCAGGCTGGCCCTCAGCCGCAAGACCCTGCCACAGTTCTTCACACACCTGCTGCACACACCCAGAGTCCTGGAGGTCAGACACACACAAACACACACCAGAGACGTCGTTGCTACTGAAATATATTGAGAGATGGATGCATTTCTCCCTCTGCTGTCCATGTGTATCTTTTCCTTGGACTGTTGGTGATCTGGGAAAAAAGAATTTTAGTAATTTGGTCTCTCTAACAGACCTAAACAGCTTTTATTCACATGCTTTCTCTCCCCTCCCTCCAGTGGTACAGTCCAGCTTTATCGATTCTCAGGAATGAGGAATTTGTGGGTGAGATGTTTTACTTGGTCTGATCTGTTTCCACTAACTTCAATGGCTTTAAGGAAAGCTGAGGAAATTCTTGTCACCACCACCATCCGGTGCCCAACATCAACACCAGACTCTAAGTGGCACTGTTCTCCCTCTTCCAGAGCCTTTCATGTCGCTGCTGCTGGTCCTGTCTCACATGGAGTTCAAACTGGACATGGAGGTCAGAGCAGCAGCTTGTTTTACAAATGCACTGTACATCTGTTTCCACATATTTTTAAAGCCACATTCTTTCCTCTAAAATATACAATTTATTGCCAAATATCATTTGGCAAAACTGACAATTTTTTGAAATCAGTTTGAAATCCAACAACTCAACACTAATAAATATTTCTGATTACTTTACACAGAACTGCAGTTTTCTGGATGAGAGCTGGCTCCTCCCAGTAAGAACAATGATCACTGCTGCACAAGTCACAGCATCACAACAGTGTTATCGTAGCTTTGCTGGCCTTAGAATATACAGCTTCAAGGATAGAAAAATCAGTATCTGTAGTGAGATCCAGCAGAATGTCACTAGACTGTTTGTTTTCAGGTGTGTGAGCTGTATGAAGTGGTGCCGTGTCGGGAGGTCGGGATGGTTTTGAGGTTTGTATCTTCAACTCTCTAAAAGTAGATTTTCCTTCCACTGAGCAGTGCCTGCGAATGTAAAGATCTGTCCAACCTGCTGCATGTGTCTCTGTGTCCCCCTGTAGATATCTCAGTGGGCGCGTCTTCGTCCTCGACCTGATGCCTGGCAGTCAGGCTCACGTCGACAAGTTCATCTCTCCTGGTGACATTATTGATGAGATCAACGGGACCTCGCTGAGAAACTCCAAAAACGGCCAAGTGAGGAAATCCTCAGACATGCCGTATATTAATGACATTTCATCAACATTAAATGTTAAGGTGATATAAATGAAACTCTTTACATTAGTCTGGGGGATCTTTTGTGAAAAATGCTGATACATGTACAATCCCACAAAACACACAGGAAACAGTGAGGAGTGGATTTAGTTTGAATTACAAGCTTCTTAAAGGTGCTGTAAGTAGACACTGTACCTGGTTATAGGTAAAACTATACTCTTCATAACTATTCCTGTCATGTGAATGGAACCTTACAATAGCCCCTTTTCATTACAGTAGGGCTGCAATTAAGATTATTTTTTTTTTATTGTTGATTAAGTTGGTGATCACTTTCTTGTAGTGAACTAGTTATCTGGTCTATAAATTGTGTGAAAATCATGAAAAATGTCAATCAGTGATTTCCAAAGCCAAAGATGACATCTTCAGATGTGTTGTTTTGGTTAAAACCCAAAGATATTCAGGTTACTGTCATAGAGGAGAAAAGAAACCAGAACATATTCAGATTCAAGGGTATGGAATCAGAAAATTCTGACTGTTTTGTCTTTTAAAAAAAACAAACAAACAAACAAAAAAAACAACTCAAACTGATTGATTCTAAAAATAGTTTTCAAATATTTTAATAATTGGCAACTGATCAATAAATCGTTGCAGCTCTACGTGACAGTGATATACAGAGCCCTACAAGTGTAGCAGCAAAATGGTATTCAGCCGTCAGTTGCTGTAACTGTGTCATATCAAAATTTCTGCAAATAAAAAAACAAAACATGAGTAGATTGTTTAAAATTCCTGCATGAAATCCACACGGGTGTATTTATTTGGGTTTCCTGATCAGAGTTGCATTTGCATGAGCAGACTGCCGTAGATAGACAGAATCTCCTGTTCTTTTTATTACACCAGTTCCAGTGGGATACTCATTTCTTTGTGACATTGTGCAGTTAGTTCCCAGTATAACTGCACCCACCTTAAGCAGCGCTGTAATCAGGGTGTGAGCAGGACTGTACTTGTCAACATGGTAAACATGACCCTGCTTGAAGGCACGATAGGACCAAAATGAGGAAGTTTGTTTAGATTTTTTTTTACTGGAGGAAAACAGCAACACTGGAAGCAAGAAGTCTCTAATTACACTATTTTGCATTCTGAAAAATATAGAATTTATATAAGAGCAACGTCAAAGCCAGTCCCAACGCTGCATTAGGGCTTACAGTAAGTTTTTCTGTTGCCCTGTTAGTACAGTAGAACCAGTAAAGACGTTCCAGTGAGCTGTGCAATGTACACACATCATTATGTCCTTCAGAGACAGACAGTGCAGCTCCTCTTCTGTGATTAAATCTATGAGACAATGGTCAGTCACACCCATGACAACCATAAACGTGTATACTTAGAAAAACTGGCACTCTCACAATTGTACACACACATTTGTGAAGTCAACTTACATACAGTCTAACATACATTTTCTTTTTTCCCCCAGGCAGGTGTAGTTTTGTCTCGGTTGAAGGGCTGCCCTTTGTCCATCCGTGTTATGAGATGGAGGGCCCACGATGGAACAGTGTATCGGCCGCTTATTAAACTCCTGAGGGCCCTGAGGATGGAGAATCCCGCTCTGCAGCTTGGCCCTGCTCCCTCCGAACAGCCTGCCAGTAAAGACCAGAAACCTCTGCCGTCACAGTGTCTCAAAGAGGGAAGGCAAGTGTGTCCTAAATCAGAAATCTTACTTCATGATATGACATTTTAGAGACAAGCTACAAAGTGACCAACCTCTCCCCAGCAGGATTGTGTACATTGTGCAGTTCTTGGGAAAAGCAAACATTGGGATGGTAAATAATCATTTGTTTTCACAGTTAACTACAAGTCAAATCATTGTGTATAAGTCTCCCATAATTGATGTGGTTTGATCCTTTCATAGTTTGGAGGCAAAGAGGTGCTGCAGCATGCAATCCCACAAGTGCTGCAGAAAAACCTGCCCAGCAAGGTAATGAGCCCACTCCCCTGCCCGAGGGCAACTTGGCTTAATGGATGTTGGATTCTGTCATGTTCTGCAAAGCATCTAACATGTTAACATGAGTAATTTGTCCTGCAGGAGGTGCTTTTAGATATGAAGGAAACACATTTGACATGCACAGACAGAAACAGTAAAAAGGTAGGTACACGCATGTTGTCTGTCACGACTAATAACTGGAGTCAATTTGCCACCACTGACTTCTTCTGGTGTAACAAGCTGATTTGTCTTGCCCCCTTAGGAGCTCTTTGAGCATCATTATCCAGAGATTTCATGCGTAGGGAGATTTGCACAACCAGACTACAAAATATTTGCCTTCTGTGTGGCGTAAGTATTACATTTCCATACAAAACTGCTAAAGCCATCACTGATATTAGTCGACCCCAAGATGAAAAGTGATAAGGATATTTCTATTATGGAAGACTTTCCCACACATTCCTGTTAATCATGGCTTGCAGCTTAGGTCACTAACTGCCAGACAGGATGTGGTGATGCAACACACAAGGCTTTACAGCTCTGTTGTCATTGGTTGAGCCCAGATGTCATCTAAGCACATGATTGGCTCTGTTCACAGAGACTCCCCAGAAACCCCTCAGTCCACAGGCTTCTGCTGTGCAGTCCTCAGAGCCAGCACCGTCAAGGAGTGTGAGGAGATAGTCTGCCGCATCGGTGAGGCATAAAAACATTGTCAAGTGAACCAAATCTGTGGAGTTCAAACATTAAATGTCTTGTAATTTCTTTTGCAGCGACTGGTTTCAAACATACTGAATGGTTTGTATGACAAAACACCAGCTGTGGTCAACAATATGTGTTGTAAATAAAATATGTGTAATGAATCATCCACACTGCATCAGTGTCTGACTGCCAAATATACATTTTTAAATCAACTACAGAACACTCAATATGTCTACTCATAAAGACCTTTAATAGAAAGACATGTGACAACATTTCATAAATAGTATTAAATGTAGCTGCCAAGATTTTATGTTGGAAAAACATGTAAAAAGCGATCCAGAAAAATACAGAGGGTCTGCCATGCTCTTTGTCACCGAGTATCGAGGATCAACTGAGGTAGCCAATACCCTGACACTACAGCGAGGCCTATTGAACATGACATGCTGGCATTTTGTGGTAAATGGGTAAAGAAACCCTGGCCCTCCCATGGAAGATGCGAAGAATTCATCCCAACTTCAAAGACAACTCCATCCCCAGAAGGAACCCAACACCTACACTAAACTTGAGTGGTGCAGTAATGTTACATTTAGTTTAATAGCCGTGTTTTCATACAGCCAAGCGGCTCTGAAACAAACATGTGAGGTCTTCAGGATTTGTTCTCAATTGGGCCAGCTGTAATTCTTTCATGTCAGCTGGTAGTGGCCATAGTCCATGTCATCTGAATGGAAAGACAACTAAAGTGGAAGTAGCTGCAAGTTAATTGTTCGCTACATCAGAAATTTTGCACATCGACTTGAATGCGCCAAAAACCCACCACAAGCATATAAACTTGTGAAATTGATGAAATTCTCATAATTTCACATTTCTATTAACTTTATCCAATTAGATGAGTTATGGAAACACGGCTAATGACCCATGATGGAACAGGTAGATACTCCTGCTGCTATACCCAAAGTATATTCAGGCTTATGGAATGGTTGATGTATTGTCTCAATCTAAAATACAATACAAAATTCAAAAAGAACTTATAAAAATAACCCAGGAAATAAAAATGTCCACAAAATGGTTAAGTACGATAAATAGGATCATTTGTTGCGACAACGCTGCCACCGGCCACTTAGGCCCTCTCTCCCCTTATCCTACGAGCCAGCTGGATGTCTTTGGGCATGATGGTGACACGCTTGGCGTGGATGGCGCACAGGTTGGTGTCCTCAAACAAACCCACCAGGTAAGCCTCACTGGCCTCCTGCCGAAAGAAAATAGAAAACAAACACTTTATTGCTGCTCATATTTCTCCCCTTGTACTTCTCTGCAAGAGTTTGAATTCATTGTTATTTACCTGAAGAGCTCCAATGGCAGCACTCTGGAAGCGCAGATCAGTCTTGAAATCCTGGGCAATTTCTCTCACCAGACGCTGGAAGGGCAGCTTGCGGATGAGCAGCTCAGTGGACTTCTGGTAACGACGGATCTCCCTCAGAGCCACAGTTCCAGGCCTACACAACAAGAGGACGTTAGGCACATTGTACACTTGTGTACTGCAGTATATTGTATGCTACAGACAAGTTATTAGAGTGACTGAAAGTTAAACACTACACACCTGTAACGATGAGGCTTCTTCACTCCTCCCGTGGACGGAGCGCTTTTCCTGGCAGCCTTGGTAGCGAGCTGCTTCCTTGGCGCCTTTCCTCCGGTAGACTTACGGGCAGTCTGCTTGGTACGGGCCATGTCGTACTTGCTAAAAACGGTTAAAAATACATTTTAATAAATGCCGTGTACAATAACAGTCCTCAGAGTAACATTACCAAACAAAAAAAAAATAGTCCCATACAATTGTGATTACTGTAGAGCTAGCATGCTAACCTAGCTATAGCTAAACACAGCCCCTCCCCCAAAGCTATAACCACAGGGAGGCGTCGGTTCTTTTTTTTTTAATAAACCAGTAATACAATAAACGCTACGCCAGTCTACGAATAATACAATAGCCGTCAATGAAACGACTGTTTTCAGCGTAAATAAAGTTTTCGTAGAAAAGACATGTTGACCATGACCGTGTATACCGACGATCGGTCCCTGAGGCCTACTCCAACCAGAGATAATGGCGTCAAAACACTCGGCGCCTGAACCGACCAGTCAGGCTCTGCTTTTCAACTTCGCCATTTTCAGGTTCTCGTTGTATCTCAGGCGACATAGCCTCGGTTCTGCTTCATCAACATTAGCTAACACATAATTAGCTTAGCTAACCGCTGTTTTGTATAAACTGTCAACATCGACACAAAACTAAATCAAGTTTTTAAGCTTGTTAAGGTTTTCCTGTTTTGATTGGGCGACTTAATCTCGACGTTTGCCGATAACGTCAACCCTCAGAGACTCCATTGTTCTATTTTTAGCTAATGCTATCGTTAGCAAGTCGACATGTTAGCCTAACAGCGTCTGGAGATAAAAAAGACGATCACGACTCATGTCACAATCATGACAATTCATTCACTCAACACACAAATGACATAAATTAATATTTTTACCTTTAGGGTATCAGCTGATTATAAAATAATTGCCGTAGACGACACACCGACAGTTGCGTCCGTTCGAAACGACTTCTACCGACGAGACGGATGAGGCCGAGTATTAATACTCTGTCTGACGTAATGGTTGTAAAACACTCCTCGCCCGTTGGCTCACCGTCCTGAGTGACAGACTCAGTAGCCAATGAAGTACAGCAAATAAAAAAAGCATGAACATGAATAGGATCGTTGATTTTGTTCCTGACTTTCAGCTTTATACAAATCCGACATATGTGTCTCTACCAATGTACATACTATAATCTCGTAAGTGTTTTGTGATTTGCGCAAATACTGGTGAAGTTATGAGGAAACTCCATATCCCATGATTCCGTGTTGTAGCTGGTTGTCCCTTTGCTACTACTTCCTATTGCCTTGCGCAAGCTCACATCGTCGTAGAATGCGGATTTCGAAGCTAATAAGAATAGCTAGCTAGTAAGCTAAAAACAAGCTTCTTGTTGTTAGGCTTCAAGCGGGTTAAAATGTCTAAAACACATTCACAGCCCCCGTCATCTTCGGCAGCGACGACTACCGGGGGTCCCTCCTCGTCCTCTTCGTCTTCGCCCGCTGGGGGGTCGACATCTCCCGCAACCGTGTTGAACGTACAGCCCGAGAAACCTCAACATTACACGTACGTAGCTAGTTAGCTGGGTTAGCCAGCTAAGTGTACACAACCTCACGTGTAGCTGCGTACACCTAACAACACACACATTTTAATTAAAAAACTGAGTGTGTAATAAATATATCACTGTTTGAAATGACTGGACCAAGCCTGTTCATCGATAATGTGCTTATGAACCGGAGGAGGTCCCGATAAAGAGGCCTAACGTTGCTCAGTAACAGTAGCCATTTCTCAATAGCTATATGCTGCAATACAATTTAAGTTCTGTGTTTGTGTGTGTGTGTGATTGTAGCAAAAATGCTAGTTTTGTTACATTTAAAAGTAACCTTTCTGAGGAAGTGGTTTATCACAGCAGCATAGACTATACTATACCAGGGTATGACAATTAGGGATAGATGGAATTCACTAAAAGAAAAGATAATGGATGTACTTCACATTACTATGAATATAGTCTTAATTATGAAACTGCAAAATACACTAATACTATTAAAATGTATTCTACTCTGTCTTGTTGCTTCCCTCTCTCCCAGATATCTGAAGGAGTTTAGAACTGAGCAGTGTCCACTGTTCGTACAGCATAAATGTACACAACACAGGCCTTTTTCCTGTTTCCATTGGCACTTCCTGAACCAGCGGCGCCGCAGACCCATCCGCAGACGGGACGGAACCTTCAACTACAGCCCAGATGTTTACTGTACCAAATACGATGAGGGAACAGGCACCTGCCCTGATGGAGATGAGTGAGTTCAGCTGATTCTTTACTCACTTGCCTCATGTTGGCATGTTTATTTATGGTTATTTCGACCCCTCACTATATACATGTATTTAAGAGGGGAAAAGAGGGATCTCTGTGGAGAGGAAATTATGTTTTTGCTTTTTATTGCAAAACTGGCTTCACTGTATCAGGGAAAATCCTAATGGAGATTCTGCAGAATTTTACTGGATGTTTTGGAAACTAATTAACAGTGTAAATGAATTAACAAGCATTTTGATGAAAACTTTATAGACCTTATTTTTTGTAATTTACCCCAGTCACTTTAACTACATATGTTTGTATGCCGTTCAAATCGAAAACATCACCCCTGTCCTTTTTCAAACCTTTTACATTTCAATCTTGAATTGCTTGAGTGAATCACCAGAACATGTGGGTCATAGCGTTACAAAAGATCTTTTACATTTCGATGAAAGTCAGTGAAGTAGTAATTGAGGATACACCCTGTCTACAACTGTAGATTCAATACCTTGGAGGAATGGTGTGTGGTGTATAATCTTCACACCGAGCATCGGCATCTATTCACTCACTCTGTGAGCCTCTTTTCTACTGAAATGTGTTGCGTTGTTATGGTCACCACGGCAGCCTTTTCTCCATTTACATATAAAGAGAATGCAAATCTAAAGACTGTGAGGTGATTCAGGGCACAGCTGGGGTGGCTTTGAAACATGCTAATGAGCCACTTTGGGCATATTAAGTGAGCCATACCATTATTCCTGTCTTATTCTTCATTTCAATATGTTGCAGCATTGCAGCTTGATACTGAACAGTTTTACTGTGAATTCTAGATGTTATTTGCTTAAATCATTATTGAAGTACTAAGTGCAGCTGTCAGCTATGTATAAACAGTGAAATAACTGATCAGTTAGTGGGCAGAATTAATTTTGATAATAACAAAATAAATGTTTCTCTCTTTGTGTTTTATATTATTATGAATGGAATTTATTTGTATTTTGCACTCTTAATTTAGCACAACAAGCAATTTGCAACATTGCTTTGGGCTCCAGAAAATTAAGAGATGTATTTTTCTTATTTTTTTTGACAGTATGGTAAATACATATTGAAAATATTAATTAGCTGCAGCCCTGGTATACAGTTTACAACATAAACTACTTGTTCAAAAGGTTAGTATGTCTTTATATGAATTTTTCGGTTTGAATGTTATTTGTCTTTTCCAGATGTCCATTTTTACATCGAACAGCAGGGGACACAGAGCGCAGATACCACCTCCGCTATTATAAAACTGGATCGTGTATCCATGAAACAGATGCAAAAGGCCACTGCAGCAAGAATGGCTCCCACTGTGCCTTTGCTCACGGATCACATGACCTTCGCAGTCCCGTTTATGATATCAGGTGCATAAATTTCAACAAGTCAGCAAACAGTTTTTTTTGACTTTGGTGTTTCTGTGTGTGTGTCTGTGCTATAGTTGCTGATAGTCTTTTCACGTTGTGTGCTGTACAGAGAAGTGCAGGTAATGGAGTCTCAAGGAGGCTCGGGGGCCACGGAGGGAGGTGGAGGAGATGGACAGTCAGGACAGGCAGCGAGTACAGCCCTGATAGAGAAGATCCTGAGCGAGGAGCCACGCTGGCAAGGTACATGTTTGCTGCTGCACTCAAACTGAAAGCACCTCTCTCTTAAATTAACAGAAGGTTGGTGAGGACGTGTTGTGATCATATTTCAGTAACCAGTGAAAGCTGGAATATGATCTAGATTTATGAGTTTGGAGCCTCAGCAGATGCTTCAGCACTGCAAAGTAGTTTATCATGCTATGAAACATGATTTGACAACTATGGAAAGTTGTCATACCGATAATTATAACAGGAATGTGTGTTAGCATGATTGGCCGATGTAGCGCCCTCTCTGATGATGTTGAGTAAATTTGTTCTTCATGTCTACTGTCAAACCTTTTAAACCAGTACACCCAGATAAATAATAACTTCATGCCTTTCTGTCTGTCTCTAATTATTTTACTGTTAAATATTTTAACCTGATGTCTGCATAATCTGTCTCATTGTCTCTATTCCCTCTCTGTGTCTCTTCTCAGATAACAACTATGTGCTGTCCCACTACAAGACAGAGCTCTGTAAGAAACCTCCTCGCTTGTGCCGCCAAGGTTATGCCTGTCCATATTACCATAACAGCAAAGACAGAAGGCGCAGCCCACACAAGCACAAATACAGGTACTCTATTACATCATACTAACACAAGAGATTTACAGATCATTGTGTTGTTTTTGTTTGACTGAGGTTGTGTTTAAGAAAACTGGTGTTTGTTCTTGTCGCCACAGAGCGCTGCCATGTCCGTCAGTGAAACAGAGCGAAGAATGGGGAGATCCCAGTAAATGTGAGGGAGCAGAGGGCTGCCAGTATTGCCACACAAGGACAGAACAACAGTTCCATCCGGAGGTTTGTGTGTTTCAGCAGAGCTCTTACTGAATCTAGACAGAAGTCACCAGACATGAATATCAGTGTGTTTGTTTTGTCACAGATCTATAAATCCACCAAGTGTAATGATATGCAGCAGTGTGGCAGCTGTCCAAGAGGGCCCTTCTGTGCCTTTGCTCATGTTGAAAGTAAGTCCACATAAATTATCCTTAATCACATCTGAACAACCATGTGAGGATTTGGTTTGTAATTTAACCCTGTAATTTGTAATTTGTTTATTTGTTTTAAATATAAATCACTTGCAGAGCCCTTTGTTCCTGAGGAGCCATCCTTTCCTAACCCCAGCTCACCCCCACCCTCCAGACCTCCGGACCCTCTCCCTATCCAGGAGGTTTCTTCAAGTCCCAGTGGTCACAGCATGGGGCCAGGGGCTTGTTCTCTCTCAGACCCCTTCTCCCCTTCTGCAGGCTCACGTGTAGCCGAGCAGGGTTTGCTGGGTAGTGTTTTGTCTCTGTGTGAGGATGTGAGTGGAGGACCAGAGCCTCTGTCTCCGTGGGCAGGAGAGGGAGGCTACGGCAGGGCACCTGGATTTGAACGGGAAGATCAGGTGAGAGAAAGAAAGGGAACATGGGTGTTTTGAGTCGATTAAATACAGTTAAATAACAGAAAGTTCTCCTCTTCAACAACATTATAGTTCCTATACAGACACGAACTGTTTATGCTGCATGTTTTACATCAAGTGTTTGTGATTTCAGGCCAAGCAAAGGAGTTTTGCTCTTGAGCAGCGCAGCAGAGAATTAGCATCAACACAAAGCAAACAGGTACAATAACTACATCTTCCACAGCCTTGATCTCAAGGTGTTTGTCTTATTTTTTGTTGTTGTGTTTTTTCTGCATTCCTTCAGCTGGTTCACATTCTATCCTGAAAAAGCATGTTTTCCTGAACAGTAATATAATCTTGTTGCAAAGAATAGAGAATAAAGCACACATATAAGAATGCAGTAACAAAAATCTTTTTTTTCTTCTTCTTCTTAAGGACTTGTTGGTGTTTCTGCCAGTTGGCAGCCCACTAAGCCTGTCCTCCAGCATCCCCTCCAGTCTGGCAGCCACACCGCCCAGCCCCGCCCCTCTCGGACCACATGGATCCAGCATCTCCTCAGGCATGAATGCTAACGCCCTGCCCTTCTACCCCACCAGTGAGACTGTGGAATCAGTTGTTGGTAAGTAAGGATGTAAAAAAAATCTGCATGTTTACTTACAGTCTAGAGCTACTTCTGCAAACACTAACATTTCTTAGTCACGAGCAAAGCTGACCAAATGTTCTGCTGTGGCCTGCAAAAGTGAACACAATAGTCTTCATGTAATCCTAGCATCTGAGGAACTTAATATCCTATGGATTGCTTTTATTTTTTATTTCAATGTCCCCACAACAAAAGGAAAATTCTTGGTGTCAGCACAATGAGCTGCTGATCTGGATAATGCTGACATTTGCTTTGATCGTGTGCCTGTAGGTAAGAACTGTCTGTGAATTCTATAGCTGAGGGACATTCAGAGATGGTGGAAACTTTAGGAGTAATCTAAAATCAATAAACAAGAACTGGATGGGTTGCTGTGTTTTAATGTCACCTGTTGTGCTTCAGCTTCTGCCGATGTTTACAGCTCTGTGCTCACACGTACTGTATTTTAATGCAGCTGAATTACCGATTAAACTGGTTTAGTTTACACAATTTTATGTTGCTGTTGTGAGACAACTTAGCAAGTATGAAATAATGACTGAAACAGCCCATTAAGACTACATGGCAGCCCACAGTCACTTCTGAGTGATTTCCAAGCTGCAGCTCTGCAGCGCGAGACGTTCTCTGACGAGCTCACCATAAACCATGATCGTTCAGAGTGGAAGTTAGAAGCCATAGAATGTTGTGGTCACACAGACTCTTTCACATCTGTGCCAGCTGTTCTGTGGTCAACTGTTTTGCTGATGCTGTCAATCACAGATGCAGAGAAAGTCTTCTCTCTGAAGGGGGTCGACAGCAGCAGTTCAACTATATTTGAAGCTACAGACACTGAAACAGCCTGTTTAGAAAAGAGCTGAAACAAGGAAATATACAGTCATGGTGAAATGAACTGTCTTTGCAATATTTTGAGCTGAAAGAATTCTGAAAACACATGAGACGCATGAGTTATTTTGCTGAAATGAGGCAATATATGGAACCTTAAAAGTGTGTCAGCATTTGGGAAAAACAATCGTGGTGGTGTTTGTGTTGCAGAGTCAGCCCTGGATGATCTTGACCTGAATGACTTTGGTGTGTCGGCGTTGGAGAGAAGCTTAGAGAGCAGCTCTGCTCGGCCCAGTGTGGGAGTTATGCTCGGTACGTACATGAACACAAACTGCGTATGAACATGTGTATAACATTCAGCAGTATGCACATGTACATACAAATAATCTTTCCTCGTTGTCTTTACAGGTGGTAGCCAGCTTCAGAGCTCTGCTCCAGTCAACATCCCAGGATCTTTTAGTAGCTCTGCTCCTTTTAGCTCCCCTTCACCATCTCCCCCAGTCAGACCACACGCTTCACCATTCTTCTCTACTCATCTGTCACAACCAGGCCAATCAGAAAGCACCTTCCTGGGACCATCTCATAGCTCTTTAGGTCAGTGGAATTTCATTTGAGACATCCAGTGGTGTTGTGAGGGATTATATGATTTTGTTCATGTTGTTCCTTTTATTTGTAGGTCTGAATGGGATGAGCACAAATATCTGGGAGCACTTCCCATCAGGCCAGGGTTCCCCTGGTACTCCCCCCACCCTGCTGCCCTCTGGCCCCTGTGCAGAGACTTCCAGGCTCAAACAGGAGCTGGAAGAAGCTCACAGGACATTGAAGCAGTGGGGTCACAGCTGGAGACACACAGCTCAGGTAGGTAGGTAGTGGGGCACGTGTGTGTGCATGTTTGTGAAATGGTTGTGTTTGTGTTGGTGCAACGACCTGCATGCTTAAATGTCATTATAACAACCAGAAATAAATTCCAGTTTTGAGTGGGAGTCATGAGTTCTGCCTGCTTTCTCTTGTAGTCGTGGGCTGCTCTTAAAGCAGATGCAGAGGAGTCTCGAGCCCATGCAGCACGGTTAGCCATGGAAGCAGAGAGAGCCAGGCAGGCTGAGGAGGAGGCACAGAGGCAGGCTTCTCTCCTGCAGGAGGCGCTGGAGAGCTTACGTAGTGGAGACAATCCCCATCTGACACTGCACCAACTCCAGCTACTACATCGACTACCACTGGAATCAGTCCTCAGTCTACAGGCCCAGCTTTGTACCTGCCTACATGCTGTGGAACAGGTAAGACCCCAGACTCAGAGCTCACTGAAATCTGCCTGACATAGTTCCTTCTGATTTACTGAATCCACGAGCATTCACAGCTATAGCTGATCAGCGCCTGTAGGCTGAACATTGTTATAGAACATTAAGTAACTTAGAAGTTAAGTCAATGAGGTAATACACAACAAACAGCTCGCTTTTGCAAAAATCTCTGAATTTGTAATTGTCATCTGCACACATGTTGCCTCTGGAAATTGTCCAGAGTTACCCTTTCACACTTTTGCCACACAACAGGAGTTTGTCTGTGTCAGATGAGTGCACACTACTGGAAATAGCTTAGGCAGGGGTTGATGCCTGGATAGATTATGCAGGATGCAGCACATGATGCAATAAGTACACTGAGCTACACGTAGCTGGTTTGCAATGTTGGTCATGAGCAAACAAGCATCTAGTCGGTCCTTGAATTTTTCTGATGATTTCGGTGTCGGACCTTCCTTACAGATGTTTCTAAATCATTTTTCGTTGTTGTCCTGGGTCTTCATTCTTGGACGTTTGTATTTGTAAGGTTTTGCGCTAGTTGCATGATGGAAACATTATCAGCACACCCTCACTCGTTGTGAAATCCTTGAACAATGCACACATGGAGTGAAATGAAATGATGTAACCATAATGTTTTCAAAGCATTAACAAAACAGAACATGTACCCAGAGTATTAAAGTGTTGCTTACTTTGTTATATTGGGCAGTTTTTTTTAGGAAAAGGGTACATATGTGGGGGAAACAATGCTCCATATGACCTTGTGTCACCATGTTGTTATCATGGTGATGGATCAAAGAGATGAGCTCTGTGTCTCCTGTAAAAGTTAGAAGGGCAACCTTACTAGTTTGAACCTGGTAACATTTCCATACCACTGTCAACACGACACAAGTCTGAACTGCATGCGCTCATATTAACAGGTAGAAATGCACAGGCTGTAAACTTAAGCTGTGTGAAGGTCTTTAGCAACGACTTTATCCATATTTCAGCACCAATGTTGGTCTTAAAAACATCACAGAGAGCAAAACAGTTTGCATGTCCAGTCACACTGTGGACTGTCCTTTATGTCAGACGTGTGAGCTGTCACACAGAGCCACAGTTTATAAGCTGCAGTCAAGTTATTTATTAATTAGTGGATTTGAATTTATTTTTTGTTTATCATTGCATTAACAAACAATATATGTTGCTTAATGTTCTGTCCAATCTAATGTAAATGACATATTACGCGATATATTCTTGCTCATAAGAATGCGTTGGCTCCCTTAACCTACAAATATGTATGTTTAGTATTTGTTATTAACAGTCTGCAATAAGGCTATGTGAGGCACTGAGGTTTCAAATATTTCTTTATTGCTCGAAAATGTACATATATATTTTTACAGTATAGAACTTAAACAACACAAGAACTGTCTTATTTTTAGACAACATTTAACTTCATCATAGTACTGCAACATAACATTATTAAAAAGCATTTAATCGCAGCAAGACTTGTCCAAGTAACTGTCAGACACCAGCTGTTATAACAATGTCATACATTTCAAATACAGTGAATGATGAGCTCATATACCCACTGACTCTATTGTCAAAAACATGATGAGATCCATATATGTTTTTATTATGTTTTGAATCGTGTTACCTGGTGCCTGAAGTTTTTTTTTTTTACATAAATAAAGATATTTCCACAAAAAATGGTAGAGAGAAGGCACAAAGTGGTGCATAAATGTTTACCAGAATGCAGTAAAAGAAATATTTGACGCTCAAAGTTTGCTGCTTAATTTGTCATAAATAGTCAAATCAAAGCCACGCCCACTTGTTTATCAGTGCATTATTATTATATATCACTTGATATTCTGTCCAATCTAGTGTGATTGACAAATATTACGTGATATATTCTTATATGCCATACGTGCGAGACAATGATTTATTTTTGATTAATTTGCTTATGAGCATCCACTGAATCTATTGTCAAAATGAGAGACGATAAGTTTTTACTATATTTTGAATCGTTTCACCTGGTGCCTGAAGTTTTACTTCACATAAATAAAGACATTTCCACAAATAAATGATTCAGAGAAGGCACAAACTAGAGCATAAATGTTGACCTGAATGCAATACATGAAATGTTTGAACATTTTTCCTGCTACACATTATATATACTGTATAATGTGTAAAATGTTAGGAAGATGAAACAACAGATACTGACCAAGCGGAATATTTTCCTTTTATATTGTCACTCTCTTTTAGTTTTGGTGACTTTCCCAGTGCTTAACGTCACGTGTTCCTCTAAATCACTGACCATGCTCCGGTTTTGGAGGCGTAAACATTTGTGTGTTGCGTTTTTCCCAGGTGGTGTACAGGAAACAGAGACAGTGCTGCGTGACGTGTGGAGAGCAGGGCTCGGTGTCGCTGCCCTGCGGTCACGGACTACAGTGTGAGAACTGCTCCACCTCCACAGAGTGTCCGCTCTGCCCCGAACAGACCCTGGAGCAGCAGCTCTCTTGACCTCGGTCGGACCAGCACAGATTCCAGACCAGTCAGTCCTGATTCCACAGAAACCAGCCTCGGGATGCCGACCGCCATTTCAAAAAAATACGTAGAGGTCACTTTGTAATACAGTAACAACAAAAGCACTGACCTGGTTGTGTACTTTTAAGATGACGTTTACTCATAAATGACCAGCTTAGCGAGCGATACTCACTAAGTAAAAGCTCCAAATGTGGAATTTAGAAATTTAATAATGTTTCCAGTGTTACACAAGAAACGCGATACATTTTTCTAGTTATTGCTTTTGACCAGCAACACTGTTCTCTACCCCTGCTCTTGAGTTGTGAAAATAACTTAAAGACCTGCTGTTATTTCTTCTCTCACCCTAATTACGCAACATTCACATACATAGTTCTTAATTTTCTCACTTTAAAGAAAACACATTTCTAGAGTGTTATCGATTCATCTGGGTGGTTTCAGGGTGACGTGCTGAGGATTAAAGGTGTCCACTGGTATTTAATATGGCAAACGTTGGTGGCATTGGGGTTCTTGGGAGTCAAAACATTTAATTTAAAAGTCAGACAGTTAAGGCTTTTTCTGTAAAGCAAGAAAACGACTTGAGGTGTGTGTCAGCAAAGATCCCTGAAGCATCTAGGTGGATGGATAACATGGCAGGTTAGCAGTTTTTAAAATGTATTCTTGAGGGTGTTGAGACATCTTGACAAAACCTACAGGTCTGACTGAAAACACTCAAAGAGCAAATGGGGTCTGATCCAGACGATGATCCTTTACTGCTCCAGCCGAAAGAAGGCCGTCACATCAGTCTGCTGGTAGCACTCACTAGATTATATTGAACTTGTTCATTCATATGGATTTTTTTTTTTTTTAATTCTAATAGTTTTAGCAAAGGAAATTCAAAATGGACAATTACTGTTCATTAGTGACAGAAATATTTAAAAAATTAGTAATATTTGTTCAAATTAACAACAGATGGCCTCTGTTGAAAGCACTCAGGTTTTCTCTAATATTCTTCTACGTAAACTGGAAGAGGACAGCATGTCAACACAATCGAGGCAAACGTCAACTTGTGTAGTCTTTGAAATTGCATATTTTTAATTTTTACTTAAAGGCTTTTCATGTTAACTCAAACATACATATTTTTTGTTTAAACCGGCTCTTTTGCTGCGTTTAAAATCAACGTGAGAGACGTTTCTCTGCCAAAATTTTTACATTTATAGTAAGCTTTGACATTTCGGTGTGTCAGATGTAGTCTAATATATACACACACACACACACATAGTTAAGTGATGTCATACTTATCTCTTGCACTGATTAGACAAAGCATCAGGAAGCATTTGGACATGTAAAGAGCTGTGTGAGGTTTAAATGCAGGTGTGAAAGTGTTCATGATCACTGTGATGGTGTTTGTTAAACCCATGCTCAGCATACTGTCCACACAACTCATGCAACACCAGTGTTTCCTTCTGAGTGGATTTTTTTTTCTTTGTTTTTGGTACAGATCATTAAAACAAATTGTATATTTTTGGAGGAACACCTTGTTTCTGTGCGTTTGTTACGATTGAATGCCCTCCTGGGACTGTTTCTCTCTCTGTCTTCGCTTCTTCACGAAGCCCTGTGCCTCCCGTTCTCCTTTCCTGGACTCCAGTAACCTCAGGATGCTGTCCTCTGGAGAAACACAGCCACACATATAAGATTAGGTTTCTCTGGAATACTTAACATTAATGGTGCATATATGATACATACATTAATTTGACAACAACAAAAAAGAGTGCACCAGTAAGAATACAGTGTTTAAAATACACCCAAATAATGTACCTCATAAACTAACTTTCTTTTACTCAACTAGTATAAAAGCTGAGGGAAGCAGTACTATTTTGGTATCATTTGGCCCAAAATCCACCTTTTCTGCATATTGTAATTTAATTAATCTAAGAGGAAACTTCTGCACCTCCTCTTGGTTCTATATTTTTCCTCTTAAGAAAATCTAGCTCATGACGAGAGACTTCAGCCAATCACAGGGCTTGTCACCCAGATAAGGTAGGGTCGTATAAAAAGCATCAAAGTCTGCAGTGAGAACAGAATGTGGTTCAATGGAGGACTTTCATTGAGGAGAGCAAAGGTTTGAATCCCGGGTGAAGCCACATAAATATGTTGACCGGCTGTGTTCTCAGATCTGCCTACTGCAGCTTTAAATGTGTAAAATGTGTCAGAATGTGCAGAACTAAAGATCAGCTTCAGGTACAACTCTGACATATTATCACCCTATAAAAATGCTTCAAAACATGTTAGCAGATGGCTGCCTACAGCATTCATTTGAGGTTTCTGATGTGGTCACCTTACACAGCCACTCCTGAGGGAAATATCTGCTCATATCTTCAACTGAAATAAACTGACAAGAGTATTGATCGTGAATCAGAATACTAAAGTTACAGGTCATAATACCAAAACAATGACCTGAAAGAGTCTAAAACCCTCTAGAGCAGAAAGGACGTGCAGAATCATGTAAATATCCTGTCTGGACATCACTAGAGGGAACATAATACACGCAGCAATTTGATTTTCAGTAAAGTTTAAAATATTGATCAAGCTCTTTGTGTCACCTTGTATTTAAATTTTACATACTTCAAAAGTAATCTTTTTTAAGCTAACTTCACAGAGTTACCACAAACTGCAGGTCAGACAGCATGTAAAGCACAGTTAAACCGTGCGTAATGCAATGAGACTGGGAAGAAAAAGGTTAATAGGGGTCTTGCAGATAATTGTTGCTCCAAAGCCTCACAGCAGGTTCAGGTGATGGAAAAGATAAGATAAAACTTTAATAAACCCAAAGGAGATTCTTTGAAAAAATATGGCTCAGTCCTACATCAAAACCTCACTGGAGTCTCTCTCCACTGAAGTCTTTAGTGAAAGGCAAACGACTTGTGCATCATAATACTCTCCTGGTCTAAACTCACTGTCAGATCATACCGTTGGGTTTGGGATGCATCAGAGGCAGACGTATTTGAGCAGGAGGGGCGTCTGGCTGTGAGTTGAGTTCGTCTTCTTCTCTTCGTCCAGCTACTCCTGGTATGGACTTGAGGGACAGGAAAGCCTCGCCTTCAAAGTCATCTGTTCTCAAGGTGTCGTGGTCCAGAACCGTGACCACCAGACAAGCCCCCAGATTCTGGCACTGGTCCAGGGACACCAGACTATGATCAAGGGAGGGAATAAAGGAGGTCAAAAACATTCCTGGAGACAGAGAAGTGAGACAAGTAAAAGGCGCAGCAACTTACAATTCAAAAGCCTCGTCGAAAAGAGGATTGAGATCACAGCTTTTGATCTGAGTGCAGCGAGCCTCTATCTCGGGAAAGATGTGGTTGGGCTCTAGACACAGCTGTACAAATGGATCACTGAAACCTGGTGGAAGCATCACAGCACACATCCCTGTAAGCTCTCTGTAATATTTCTCTACGGCCGTGACTGTTGTGCATTTTCTCACCGTTAGAGTCCATCGGTAGGAGGTTGACGGCATTCAGCACTTCAACTCGCAGCCTCTGGTCTGATCTTCTGTAGGATGTGAGGAGGGTGACTGCACCGTATTTCTCTCCACTGTACACTTTCTGTCATGCAAGCAGGAGAGGCAGAAATAAAGTCAGATCAAAGAACCAAGCGTGAGTTTGCAGAAGTCTGAGAAATAGTTCTTGTAGACTCGACCTGCTCCCATATTTTCCTTTCGAAAAACTTCTCCACCAGCTGCTGGCTGCTCAGGGAGTTGTGAGTGAGGTGAGCTTTAAGCATCTGGATGGACGGGAGAAAAATCACAGAGTGGGATATAAACAGAGCATGCACTGACTGATTTTAGTCACAGGGAAGATGGATGACATGAAGACATACACTACTCAATGAAATATTGATGTCAGCTGTTGGCGTCCACAGTTTCTCACCTTGTACTCATCAGATTGGAGGGCAGTCAGAGGAAGTCCGTTTCCCTCAGCGTGGAAGCATTGCTCAAGGCACTGAAACACACACAACATATAAAATGTATTATGAAGCTGCAGTTGCTATTGTAAAGATTTCAGTTTGTGCAAACAAACAATGTAAAGCATGTTAAATAGTGAGCTGTAAAGGCAGAGATCGACTGATGTTACAGGTTGCTAATGTAATCAGCTGACCTATTGGAGATGTATTAGTATCACAGTCCATCCTCCCATTGAAATACTAGCTCACAAAAATATGGAATTTTCACATAAAGTGCTGCAAAATTAGGGGGACCCTACATGAGGTATACACTTCCATCCATCCATCCATTGTCTATACACTGCTTAATCTTCACTAGGGTCGCAAGGAGCTGGAGTCTATCCCAGCTGACTTAGGACGAAGGCAGGCGACACCCTGGACAGGTCACCGGTCTGTCACAGGGCTACACTTAGAGACAGACAACCAAGTACACTCACATTCACACCTACGGGCAATTTAGAATCACCAATTAACCTCAACATGTTTTTGTGGGAGGAAGCCGGAGAACCTGGAAAAAACCCATACTGCAAACAGAACATGCAAACTCCACGCAGAAGGATCCCATGTGTCCTCACCAGGACACGAACCGGTGACTTTCTTGCTGTGAGGCAACAGTGCTAACCACCGATCCACCTTGCAGCCCAGGTATACACTTCTGAGTGCATTTTTGTTATCTATATTGGTAACTGTAGCCACTAGGCAGGAACAGATACTGTCAACATTTTTTTTTTTTAATGCAATTGTTGTGGGTGGAGAGGCAACCTAGAAAACAACTGGAGCTTTGTGGTTAGTGTTTGCAAATGTACATTTTTAACCAGGCCATGATTTGTTTCTAAACCTAACCAAGAAGTTTTAACGCCTAAATTTAACCAAGTAGTTCTGTCGCATAAACAAAAGCAAACAGTGACTGAAAACACCTGAAAATAGTGACTGACTAGGTGAAAGTCTATGAAGGGCCAAACCTGCCATAATTAAAAATAGATAAATAAATGAATAAATGAGGAAATAAATAATTAAATATATGTATTTTTCCCCCCTATTTTCCTTTCATTTATCCATTTGTTTATCAATTTATTTATTCTTACTTTTCCTCACCTAAAATAGGTGAGAGAAAGTAAAGTAAAGCAGGCCAGCGAAAACCTACATGCCAAAAAAAACGTTGGCATCTCACAGTTCTACAGCTTTTATTGTGAAACTTTCACCTTTGTGCTGTGAATCAATGTCGCTATTACACATTTCAGCATGAGACTGTGTTCAGCATGAAAAAACCGAAGGCCGAAAAAAAAAAAGTCATATTTTAAAAATTATTTTTAAAAAAAAAACAAGCCTGGGGTAAACAAAAACCCGAACCCAATTTTGGTAACACTCTCAGTACTGTCTGCAGCACATGTAGCAGAGTCTGTGTCATAGCGGAGCAGATGGTGTGTAATAAAGTGCTGTCTTCACCGTAAGTCTCCAAGTAGTTGTAAAATAAATTGCTGGGGAGTTAATGAACAATTACCAATCATTCTCCATTTGCACTACAACGATAACATGTATTTCTAAAATGTTGGCTAATATATAAAAATGGGTTTGGTTCCTTCCCACCGTTGCCGAATGCTTGCTCATAAGGAGTCCAAAGGCAACTTTGTTGGGTTCTCTGTTCGAAATCCAAAAGGTCTGTACCTCGCTAAGTAGAGTAGTGTGAGGTGACATATGTTGTAAATTTGTGCTATACAAATAAAAATTGAAATAATTGAATTTGAAATCATCAATGTCCATCTAGTGTGATACTGCATTGAGATTGCGCCCAGAAAATAGTGTTGCCGCAGTAACAAATAATGTGGGTTAAAGTAAAAAAAAAAAAACAACAACAACAACATACCTTCATATGAAAATGTAGCTAATATAAATAGAAGAAACTGTTTTCATGATGCAGAATGTGACCGTGCTCTTGGTGTTCAATAGTTTTTCACTTTCAAACAGATTTTGGCCAACTCCTTGACGTCACCAGACATTCAAAAGTTGTTAAAAAAGATAACTTTGTGCTGAGCAGGGAGTGTTCTGTTCAGGTAATCAAAGTAACCACACGACTGTGGACCAACCTGCAGCGTATACAGCAGTCTCTGGCAGTACACCATGAGCCCTTCTTGCTGTGGATGCTGAGTGGCCACCTGGTAGAGGATTTTCACCGAGTTATTCCACAAAGGAGTCAGGAGACTGTCATTGGAGAGAAAACAGTGACACAATCTCATGTTAAGATGAACTTGAGAAACTAATAATGAACAGAAATAAAAAACACAATGAAAGAAGAGTTGTTGGATATTATGTGTAAAGGTTATACATCAGCTCAGCACCTGTTGAAGCTTTCTTGGACCAGGTTTTCATTCATATACTGCAGCTCTCGCTCCAGGTAGCGCATGAGAGGTGCTGCAGCCTAAAGCAGAGCAGAGGAGAGGTTAGATATGAAGCACAAACACAACAGGGATCTGTTTCTGTGCAATGATGGTCACTTACATCCTCTGAGGACTTGGAGGGAATCCTGCGCCTGGTCGA